CCCAAACAGCAGGGGGGTTCGGCTCCTTGGCTAGTGAAAGTGTTGTTATTGATATATATATATATATATATTTATATATATATAATATATATATATAATATATATATATATATATATATATTATATAATCACAAAAAAAAGTGAGAACTGGCCAAGCCGCAGGGGGAGTCTGTTAATATTCAAAATCACTTTTTTCGTGATTTCTTTGTATTTTGAAAACTCCTCGTGAAGGCTGGTACACCAAACAGGATGAGGTTGAAATTAGTTTCTGAGGCTCCATGACCACGAATGTCCTTGCATCAGGATAACATGCTCAGTACTGCTGGGCGCCTGGTGTTTAAGGATTTTTGTCCGATGGAGAGAGTTCAGTTCACGCAGGGCTGGGCATGGGAACGTAGGATCGAGTCCTGGCCAAGCCACAGTTTTGTGTATTATAATATATATATATATTATATATTTTATATATATATATTATTTGAAGCGCAAACAGGCGAAATTATTAACAAACATTGTCTTCGTTCACAGCAGGACTCGAACCTGCTAACTCTGTATCAGAGTCCACAGTACTTTACCACTGAGCTAGACCCGTTATGTCATTTACATATACCAAAAACAGCACAGGTCCTAGGACTGACCCCTGTGGATCCCTGCTTATCACAGGCACCCACTCTGACACCTCGTCACGTACCATGACTCGTTGTTGCCTCCCTGTCAGGTATTTTCTGATCCATTGCAGCGCCTTCCCTGTTACGTGTACCTGATGCTCTGGCTTTTGCAGTAACCTCTTGTGAGGAAAATGTGTGGAAGGCCTTCTTGCAGTTGAAGAATATATATAATTTTATATATAATATATAATATTTATATATATATATATATTATATATATATTAATATATATATTTTATATTATATTTATATAATATATTTATTATAAAATTTTTATATATATTATATATATATATATATATATATATATATATTTTATATATATATATGTCGTTTCCGAATAGGCAGAACTTGCGATCTTGGCTTAAATAGCAACGCTCATCTTGCCATATAGGACAAGTGAAAATTTGTGTATGCAATAATCTCGCCAAAATCATTCTGAACCTAACGAAAGAAATATATTTCACTGGGTTTGTTTAGTATTAAATTATTGTAAACAAATCTAAAATATATTTAGTTGGGTTAGGGGTAAAATAAATTGTTCTTGTTATAATAAGGTTAGGTAAGTTTTCTAAGATTCTTCTGGTGCAAAATTAAAAATTTTTACATAACATTAATGAAAAAAATATATCTTTAAACGTATAAGAGAAAATTTCAGAAAGGACTTAATTTTAAATGAGTTCTTGCTAATTGACCAGTTTTACATATTCGGCACGACATATATATTATTATATTAATATATATATATATATATATATATTATATATATTTTATATTATATATATATATGTCGTGCCGAATAGGCAGAACTTGCGATCTTGGCTTAAATAGCAACGCTCATCTTGCCATATAGGACAAGTGAAAATTTGTTTTATGCAATAATTTCTCCAAAACATTCGAACCTAACGAAAAAAATAAATTTCAGTGTGTTTATTTAGTTTTAAATTACTGTAAACAAATCTAAAATATATTTTAGTTGGGTTTTGGCTAAAATAAATTGTTTTTTGTTATAAGGTTAGGGAAGTTTTCTAAGTTCTTTTGGTGCAAATTTAAAAAATTTTTTACATCAACATTAATGAGAAAAGTTTCTTTAAAAAGTATAAGAAAAAAAAAATTTTTGGAAGGGGCTTAATTTTAAAAGGTTCTTGCTAAATGACCCGTTTTTTACATATTCGGCACGACATATATATATTTATTTTTTTAAAATTAAAAAAAAAAAATTTTTTTTTTTTTTTTTTTTAAAAAAAATTTTTTTTTTTTTAAAAAAAAAGGGGGGGGTTTTTCCTTTTGGGGTTTTAAAAAAAAAAATTTTTTAAAAAAAAAAAAATTTTTTTTTTTTTAAAAAAAATTTTTTAAAAAAAGGGGAAAAAATTTTGAAAAAATTTTCCGGGGAAAAAAAATTTTTTAAATTTAAAAAAAAAAAATTTATTTTTAAAAAAATAAAAAAAAAGGGGGTTTAAAATTGGGGGGGGGGGTTTTTTGGGGGAAAAAACCCTTTTTGGGGGGGGGTTAAAAATTTGGGTTTTTTTTTTAAAAAAAATTTTTTAAAAAAAAAATTTTTTTTCGGGTTTTTTTTTAAAAAAATTTTTTTTTTTAAATTTTTTTTTTTTTTTTTTTTAAAAGGGGGGGGTTTTTAATTTTTTTTTTAAAAAAAAATTTTTTTTAATAATTTAAAAAAATTTTTAAAACTTTTAAAAAAATTTTTTTCCCCTTTTTTTTTTTAAAAAGGGTTTTTTTTTAAAAAAAAAAAAAAAAAAAAAAATTTTTTTTTTTAAAAAAAATTTTTTTTAAAAAAATTTTAAAAAAAGTTTTAATTTTTTTTGGGGGTTTTTTTTTTTTTAAAAAAGGGGGAAAAGGGGAAAAAAAAAATTTTTGGGAAAGGTTTTTATTTTTTTTTTGTTTTTTTTTTTTTTAAAAATTAAATTTAAGGGGAAAAAGGGGGGGGGGAAAGGAATTTTGGGGAAAAAAAGGGGTTTAAAGGGGGGTTTAAAAAAAATTTTTTTTTTTATTTTTGGGGGAAAAGGGGTTTTTTTTTTTTTTTGGGGGGGGGGGGGGGAAAAAAATTTTTTTTTTTTTTTTTTTTTGGAAGGGTTTGTTTTTTTTTTTTTTTTGGGGTTTTTTTTTTTTTTTTTTTGGGTTTTTGGGGAAAGGGGGGGGGGTTTTTTTTTTTTTTTTTTTTTTTTTAAAAAGGTTTTGGGGTCCCGGGTTTTTTTTTTTTTTTTTTTTTTTTTTAAAATTTTTTTTGGGGGGGGGGTTTTTTTTTGGGGGGTTTTTTTAAAATTTTTTTTTGGGGGGGGGGGGGTTTTTTTTGGGGGGGGGGGAAAAAAGGGGGGGGTTTTTTTTGGGGGGGGAAAAAAAAAAAAAAAAGGGGGAATTTAAAAAGGGAGTTTTTTAAAAAAAGGGTTAAAATTTTAAAAAAAAAAATTGGGGGGTGGGGTTTTTTAATTTTTTAAAAGGGGGGGCCCCAAAGGGTTTTTTTTGTTTTTTTTTGGGGGGGGGTTTTTGGGGTTGGGGGTTTTAAAAAATTTTTTTTTTTGGGGGAAAAA